GTGAGTGCTGGAATACAGGCATGCGTCCCCACACTAGGTTCCTGTATGGCCTTCCGACTCTGTACAATGACCAGGTGCTGTGGCTCCCCTGTCATCCCAGCTCTCAGGAAGCTGAGGTCAAAGCCAGCCTGGGCCCGGGCTCGCACCGGCAGGGGGTAGGCGAGGACGCCGCCTCGCCAGGCCAGGCCAGGGGCCCGGGCTGCTCCGGGTCTGAAAAAGGAGCAGAAGCCCGGGCTAAGGGGTGCCGCCTGCAAACGCAGATAGGACCTCTGGGGGCTGGGGCGAGGGGGGCTGCCACCCAATTCCAAAGGTACGTGTCATCTCAAATCAGTCCTGATCACAAAAACAGACCCAAAAGAGGCGTTGAAATCCACCAGTAGCCGAGCCCGGTGGCTCACACCTGTAATCCTAGCTTACTCAGGAAACTGAGATGGTTCAAAGCTAGCCAGGGCAGGAACATTCCTAAGACTCATCAGCAATTAACGGAAGGAAGTAGAGTTGCTATGTCTCATGTGATAAAAGTGCTGATCCTAGATACAAAAGCTCAGGGGCAGCACCCAGGCCCTGAGTTCAAGCCCCGGGACCGACAAAAGAAAGAAAGAACCAAAGAACAAAAGAAAGAAAAGTTCACCTATTTATCTCCAAAATCCCACAGGCTCCCAAACCAGCAAAACCAGATTTGGTGACTTGAAACCAAGCTGATCATGGGTTATAGTTCTCCTGGGCAGGTGGTTCTTGTTTTGCAATGTGGAAGACTGAACCCTGAGCCTATCTGTGCACATGTTTGGCAGGTGGATCCCCATCGGAGCCAGACCTCCACCCCAATTTATGTGTTCTCTCTCAGATACTGCCCTCCAACTCCTAAGTCTCCCAAGTAGCTGAGAATTGACACAATGAGACACCATGCAAGGCTCCCTCCCAATTTACCAGGCCAGTAGCAATCACCTTTAATCCCAGCGCTCACTGGAGAGGCTGACACAGACAGATGGAGATTTAGAGGACAGCCAGGTTCACCAGCCAGACTGTGTTTAAAAAGAAAAGAAAACCTGTCTGGGCCCTTCTTATAGCACTGTACACAGAGGCTTCATTAATAATGTATAATAATGACTCAACTGATAATAAACCACATCAGAAGGAAAGGAACTACAGGTTGGTGATTCTCCACATGTAAAAGAAGTGGAGAATTTACTTATTTTTATTTTTCAAATATTCGGGTTGATACCGGAGCTTGAACTCAAGACCTTGTGTGCTCACTTGGATTTTTCGTTCGAGGCTGGTACAGCTACGGCTTTTGCCACAGCTCCACTTCCAACTCTGGTGGTTCACTGGAAATAACAGTCTCCCAGACATTCCTGCCCAGAGGTGGCTTTAAACTGTGATCTTCAGCTCTCAGCCTCCAGAGTAGCTGGGATTACAGGTGTGAGCCACGGCACCTAGTGAAGGGCTGTTATGTGTAGAGGTGGATCTGTGTGTGAGCGTGCATATGCGTGTGAGCGCATATTCACACACCCAGTATGTGTTGTTTCTTCCCTCCCACCCCAGGAAGCCTCTGTCCTAGAGGAGGAAACCGCACAATAACAAGTCATGTGACAGGGGAGGGGGCTTCCTGTTTCCCAGCCCCTCCTGGGCCAGCCTTAGGCCACCCAGATCTGAGTAGGCAGTGGCCAGCAACAACCCAGGAGCTCGGGCCGCTGACTGAGTGTCCCCAGGGAAACAGAGGTAGCGGGGGCTGAGGGGCAAACCCCACAGCCGGAGGCTCCGAATCCAGCAGGACCTTGGGGAGGGATGGTCGATTCTTGGAGTCCCGATCCCAAGGCTGGCTAGACGAGAAACACGAGAAGATAAACCATGAGCTATGGTGGCCACACCTGTAATCCCAGCGCTTGGGAAGTTGAAGCGGGAGGATCATGGGTTTCCAGCCAGCCTGGGCTGTAGAACACGGCCTCTGATTTTTGTATTGTTGTGTTTTTTAAAGGAAGGAAAACCCAAAAGGCAGAACAAGGGAAGAAGGGGGAAGGGAAAGGTGGGTCAAATGGGATGGGTAATGAGCGGCGTGTCCCGGAACCATTCAAGCAGCAAGTGGACACGGGTCACCTCCAGAGCTCCCTGCCGGGCCCTGAGCCACAGAGAGTTAGTTGAGGCACCAGAGGCTTGAGCTGAGCCCCCGCTGTGTCCTGCCAGGACAGTGTCTGGACAGGAATGAGTGTCAGAGCCACGCGGCCCCGGAGCCGTCGAGGGAGACCGGCTCCACCGGTGAGTGTCCCCCTACCCGCCCGCCCGCCCCCCCCCGCCCCAGGAGCACAGGCCCCCAGAGCTCAGCCCCGATCGCTTGCAGGGTGAACTCGATCCTGTGGCTGAGAGCTCAGAGGAAGCCGAAGCGGCCGGCAGCAACACCAGGCGCAGCGCAGACGCAGTACGGGAGGAAGCCAGGCCGCAGCCGCTGGAGCCCGGGGCCGAGGCCAGCGACCAGGGGCTGGGGGACGGGTGAGCCTGGCTAGATGGTGCCCTCTGCCAGCTGGTGCATCGCAGCCACCCACAGTCCTGCCAGTGGCCCTGCCCGGCTCCCCGCCCGCCCGGCTCCCGCTGCGAATTGGCTGAAGCTTTTCTCTTTTTTTTTGGAAAAAATTATGTATTGGTAATAGTAAGGTGTGAGCGCATGGCCTTGGCCTTGCTGAGTGCGTTATACTTCAGCCAGGCCCGGCCCTGTGTGTGTGTGTGTGTGTGTGTGCGCGCGCGCACGTGCACGCGCACGCGCTTGAACTCAGGGCCTGGGCGCTGTCCCTGAGCTTCTTTTGCTCAAGGCTCGCACTCTACCCCTGGAGCCACCTTCCCAGCCCCTCCCTCCGTCCTCCTCTCGCGCTTCGTTTGTGGCTGGGTGAAGGTGTGCACCATGGTGCCCCCCCCCACACCATTTTTTCCTATTTGGAGCCAGGCGCTCACCATTGATTTCAGGCTGGCCTTGAACTCATGGTCACATGGGAATTGAGCCTGAAGTTCTCCAGCTCAGCCGTGAGTGCTGGAATACAGGCATGCGTCCCCACACTAGGTTCCTGTATGGCCTTCCGACTCTGTACAATGACCAGGTGCTGTGGCTCCCCTGTCATCCCAGCTCTCAGGAAGCTGAGGTCAAAGCCAGCCTGGGCAGGAACGTCCTGGAGACTCATCTCCAAGCAGAAGTGATGCTGTGGCTCAAGTGGTAGAGCGCCGGCCTTGAGCACCACAGCTCAGAGACCGTGCCTGGCCCTGGAGTTCACGTATTTGTATTCCGTAGCCTTGGCCTTGACCCAGGGTCTCCCACATGGAGTCTGGCTACTGCCACTTCCAGAACTTTCTATGACTCTTCATCAGGCCTCTGCCCAACTCCTCATTTTTCCCCAACGGAACATGGGGTCCAGCCTCCTCGGGTCCCCCTGGGGCGCCCCCCCCCACCCGGTGGCAGGCCTGGCTCAGGCCTTGGTTTTCACAGGGCTGATGGGGACCCAGATGGAGACGCTGGCGGGGTGCCATGCCCTGAGGGACCCCAGGAGCCGCCCGCCGCAGCTCAGCAGCCCCCCGAGGCGGATCCAGCGGATGGGGGCGCCGAGCCCACCGGGCCGGGGGCCCCCGATGTGTTTCACACCCTCCAGCAAGCGCTGAGCTCCCTGGAGGCGGCGGCGGCTGCCTGGCGGT